CTTTAATAATTTTTTTTTAAATTTTTGAGCTCCTTTTATTTTTGTTTTTATTTTTAACTTCTTTGTTAAATTTTATATTTTTTTTTAATTTTTATTTATATTTTTTTTTTTTTATTTGCGCCAAAAATACGTCATAGCATGCGTAAAAATAAATTTTCAATGTCGACAAAAAGAGTAAAGTTGCATACGCAACTGCTGCTAGCTGGCTGGCTGCCTGGCTGCCTGGCTGCTGCACCCGCTGCAACACAGTCAAGTTCAAGTGCACGCAACGCGTTTTACGAGATGCAAACCAACAATTCCAACACTCATTGACAAATTAGCTGCACAGAAATAACTGTAAATCTGAAGTTCAATGTGCAAATGGCACAAACAGTTGCGTACACGCTGCTCGGTCATTGTCATTCGCATACGCGGCGCACATGCATGCGTTCAAAAAATAAATAAATAAAAATAAATAAATTCAGTGTGCAGCTGTCAGTTGCCGATTGATTGCCAGATATTTGCTGGAGGCCAACACCAAACGCCTGTGCGACTGGTTTGCACGCAGTTTTTGGCATAAGAAATTCATTTACTGCACATACTCGTATGCAGATATGTGTGTACATATGTACAATTTTTTCAGTAGCAACTCATGAACAAATTTTGTTCTTTGTTTTTTTTTTTTTTTTGTGATATTTTATTTTTATATTCTTTTTTTCATTTTTTTGTACGCAATGAATTGGCATATTTTCTTTCTCAAAATAAAATGCTCATTTTGTACGCGAAATGTGTGTATAGATGGATATGTACATGTGTGTGTCTATGAATGAATTTGTTTCTGCTTCAAGATTTTATCTTAAATTCATTGGGTTTTTTGTCTTGCATAACTTGTTTGTCCGTAAATGAGGCATGTGGTATGCACATACGTGTATGTATGTATGTATGTAATATAGTTTATTTTCTGATCTACACCTGTTTGTACATAAATACGTACATACATAAAAGCAATTGCAAATTAATATTGTTTGCTTATGTGATTTACTGTTTATTGATTTTCTGGTTTGTTTTGGCCACTTAAATATTATTATGGTGGCTTACATTTTTTTAACAGACAAGAAGACGTTATAATTTTCAGTTATTTTGTTCCACTCTTCCTGAATGACCTCAATAAAAACGTTTTTATTAATTGTGCCCCATTTGCCCACTCGCTTCTTTCAAAAAGCTCATAAATTTTCTATAAGGTTTAAGGGTTACTTCGGTCTTGAAGGCCAAAAAAAACTTATTTTCTCCAATTTTTTAAAAAGATACTAAATAAAGTATACAATTTATTCTATTTACATAAAAAAATTCAATATGTGAACAACATTTGATGAAAATTTGAACAAAAAATAGTATAATATGAGACGTTGCCAGTGTCGTGAAGTAGATCGTCCACAAGAAAGTGCTTTCGCGTTAGTCATGATAACTTTTTTAATTTTTATCTGAAACCAAAAATTCAAATTTTTCCTTGAAGTAAGTGAATTTTCCTTGCCCCTGAACGAAGAAAAATTAAAAAAAATTTAAATTTCATTTTTTGCAGCGTTTTTACAAAAAACGGTATTTTTTGCATAAAATTAGGCCACAAATTGGCTTGTAAAATGAGATGAAATCAAAGATAAAACAAATCCTTCGTTCAGGAACTACAAATACAAGCTTAAAAGAAGTGTTGAAAATTTGAACTCGAACGCTTTAATAGTTGTTGGGAAGTTTTGTCTATAGATTTCGATAAGGTAGCTTTAAGAAAAACACGTTTAAAGTTCCACCATCGGTCAGGCCATGACAAAGACGGCAGGTTATAAAATTCTCTAGTTTCTACAGTTTCGACTCGATCGACTTGAAACTTGGTTAAAATATTCCTAACACTTTTTTTTTTTAATTTTCAAAAAAAAAATGAATTTTTTGAAGTTTTAAGACCTACGTTACCCCTTAAGTCAGGACTCTGGACAGGAGTGTCAATCACTTTACTGCAATTATATTGTATCCCCGTCCTGCACAGCAATGATTTATATTATATTGTATTTCGGAGTTGCCCTGGTGCATTTTGTATTTTAATTAAATTATTAGGGTTTTCATGGTCAACAAATCTAAATCTTATCGCACCGCTTGACAATTCGTTCTTTAGATTGTCCAAGTACAACTCCTTCATCATCACGTCATTGGAAACTCGGAGCTCGCCAACACATTTCGCCGAGATGCAACCCCAAACCATTACAGAAAGCTTACCAAATTTTACTTTTGGAATTATATTTTTCTCTTCCAAATGTGTTGAACTAGATCTCAAGCAACTCTACAGGTTTTCAGCGATGTGCTTACTGGGCTCCAGGCTAGTAGGGCTTTCGAGAAATGGTTTATCAGATAAGATTGCCGAAATTGTCATCCGTCTGACTACCGAACCAGTAAAGGAAACACGTAAATCGCGAAAAAATTAAACTTCCTATTGAACTGATCTACGGATAAGGATTAAATAGAATGCCTAAACGCTGTCTCAGAAGGTTTGCAGGGCATTGTTTGGATTGTTTACCCAATGACAAATCGCAATTTACTGGCATCACGCTCATGCCGAATGGGCATCAGTAACGATGATACATGCGTGAAGAGCAGGGAAAAAGGAATAAGTGTTTGGCTGGAATATTTCTTCTGAGATGAATAAAATGTCATAAATCACAATTAGCATACCCAACGCTGGTGTAATCATATGAAGTTATCGGAACTGACGAAAAAATTTCAAATTTAATTAAAAAAGATTGCAATCGAATTTGTGATCAGCAATCGTCTCAAATAAATACCAGGGACTACTTTGGAGTGTACGAAAAGGGACTTCTTCATTTTATTTAGGCTTAGGGGAGATATCTTCAATTTCCAACAGGATTACGCTCGCATTCATGTAAGCAATGAAACGAGGGTATTTTTGTCTGCTCTTCGGACTTAAATCCCAAAGAGAGCGTTAAGAGATTTCAAATGGCTTTAAAACTGCAATTATTACCAAATGGTCTAACCTGGAAGTTAGTCTTCCGAGGAAATTATCTGAACCTATGACAAATACATATTTGCGTAGCAAGAGCACATTAATGAGCATAAACTAATGAAAAAATTTCCCAGGAAAAACTTTTATTTATTTAAATTTAACGGGCATAAAAATTTTTTCGTTCATTATTACATAATAAACTTTTATTGAAATTGGTTTTTTTATACCAAAAGCCAGGACTATAAATATTTGAACTGTTTTGACCTAAAAGTTGGATCCTCTACAATACTTTAATTAAGCGGGGCTTGCTTTTTATATTTTGGGATTAGAGACCAAAAACACATATTTATCATCGAAAATCGCTTCGCTGCTTTCCAGAATATTTCTACTTAAGATCTAAACACTCTTGTAAACGTTTGAACCAATTGTCGAAGCACTTTTGTCACACTGCTTGAGGTATCTCCTAAGCAATTTTGTTCCGAATGCCTCTTCAGTAGGCGAATTCCCTATCGGATTATAAGGATTTTCGGTTCGCAAAGATGATTTAGCTATAATTTTAACGGTTATCACTGTTGTCATAACCTACTCGACAAATCTCTAATATCAACAGAATATTGTTATTTCATTAAGATTAAGATAAAATAAAGTAAATCGGGAAATTGGCTAAAATATAAACAAAAATCAAAATAAAATTATAAACAAAAATGGCTTTTGGAGTGTTTGGCAAACGTTTTATCCCAAGATGAGGAGATATTGTACTCTTCATCATTGGATAGAACTTGGCTTGGGGAAGTTGAAGATCGTTTCCACTTGAAAGCCACTGAGCTTCTTGTTGGCCTACTAAAGGCAGATAAAAAACAGCATTATCTACGCAGAAACAGCTAATAATATAGCTTTTGAATATTTTTCAGTTTTTACACTATTGAAATGTTTAAAGGTTTTAACCGCAATGCGATTCTTTGCAACTGGATGCTACCAACCTCCCGTCGGAGAGCAATAGGGAATACCCATGAGTTCATCGCTTGACAGAAGCAGGCAACCGAAGGTTAAATTTCTCATTACATCGCCATTTGTCGGAGGCACTATTGGAACTATCGATTGCGAAGAAGCCTATGTCAATTTTCATGAATACTATTCTACCAACGTGCAAAAGATGAGAGTAAATTTTTTCAATTACTTTTGAAGTAACCAAGTTCATTATATTTGTACATAGATATGTATGTGATCCTTATCGCAAGATTATGGCGACAAATGCTAAGTACCCAAGAGCGCGGCAAAATTATTTTTTTTTGGAGCTCTTCTATAGAGCGAAGAGTCATGCCTGAAGGTGCAAGCTATAACATGTCTTTAATTTGATAAACTTTGTGTTGCTTCGCTATTCATTTAATAAAAATAATTTCTATAACGAATTTATCGTAAAAACTGAGTTAGAGATTCGCATAATCGTTAGCGCAAGCGAAAAAATTCGGAGCTTTGCGATCCGACAAATCGTGTCGATAAAAGTTACAGAATCGCACTACACAACTCAAAAACACAGTTTTTTTCCGTGAGGGGTGACAGCTCGCATTGTGATGGTGAAGAGTGCTGTGCCTTCGGCGGTTGTTTTACCAAACCAACAAAATGCCCTAGAGCTTTCATTGATTGATTGACAAAATATGTGGGACCTAACGGCAATGAATTTTTTATAGTCGAATACTTTGTCCACAACTCATATGGCGATCTTCGAAATTGGTTTTGCACTCGTATTTATATCATGAGAACTGCCAAGCTTTACCATAAAGTAGTCAGTTGAGAGACGGGTACACTAAGGCTGCCAAATTCCGAAATATAAAAGGCAACCCTCGCATTTACTTTTCACTCCACCAGTTTCCCTTGAGCTTATAAGGCGACTTTTGAAATGTATAATTTTATGTATAATGTTATGTCTTATGTTTTTTATGTTAAGTGAATTATTTTTATAAGCTATAAAATATTTAAATGCTAAGACCCACAAGAAAGGCAAAATTAATTTTTTTTGAAATATTTTTATTTTATTTTGATAACAACTCCAATTGATAGTAGACAGTTTTAAAGATAGAAAGGAAGTAATTATTTTACAAAGTTCTTATAAAAGTGTATCGACTGAATAGAGGAAAGTGGCAGTGACATGGCAAGTTAGTGCAATAAAGCATTTGACTTAGAAAATGATGCAATATCACAGTGCATTTGAAGGTGAAAAGTAATAGAGAAATTAAAAGGAAATGCAAAAATTTTGTTTTCCAAAATGTTTTAATTAAACTAAAATTATTTTCATTATATGTGTGTTCTCGTATGTATTTGAATATGTATCTATATTGCAGGTATACCAGTTTTATTTGACTATGGCCAGAATGTTTGTTTGTTGTTGTACGTGTTTGTATTATATTTTCTCAATGCATATACATATACGAATACGCGTATATTCCCGTTCGAAACGCAATTCAATCAATCATCCATGCCGGTTTTATGTATGCATCACGTAACTCCTTAGAGGGTGCCTGGTGCTGGTTCCAAGTTCACTGATGCGGCAGATTGCACATGACCGGGCAATGGGGCAACATGTACTGCGCCACGGGTCTTGGCAACGTAGGTACCTTCGGCAGCAGGAGCGACGGCCACAACAGCTGGCGACACTACTGGGCTGGTGATGATTTGTACAGGTGATGGTGCGGCTACAACGGCGGGCACAGCAGAAGCGTGAACGGCCACTGAGCCGGGTGAGGCCAAGACGAGTCCATTAATGGAGCTCACCAATGGAATGACTGAGCAGTGAGCGAAGCCAAGAGCCAAAGCGAACAAGACTACGGAAACGGCGAACTGTAAGTAGGAAAGACGGTGGAAGGTTTAGATAAATAGATGAGGTAAAATGTTATATTTTTCTTCATAAAGCTTGAAGTTAAATATTTATAAAATGCCTCATATTTGGCACTGATTTTAAAGGATTTGTAAAATCGAAATCTGAACCTTTGGTTTTGAATAAGATACCCGGTGTCTTTTAGTTAATTTAAAGTGGAATAAAAACAATTGCTTTAAGAAATTTACGATAAAAAAATTACGGCATTAGTTTTGGGATACAAATTTACGATATTAAAATATCGGCACTAGCATCAATATTTTATGCTCAATTTACGATATAGGAATAAAATTTACGTTTTACTACAAAAAATTAACGATATACACACTAAACTTAAATTTTTCGCTCATTTTACGATATAGGCGGATAAGGCATAAAAGTTAAGCTATTATTGGTTTTACGTTATAAAATTAACGATATAGGCAATAAAATCTAATTTTTCGCTTATTTACGGTCTAAAGTTGTTTTCCAAATTACGATATTAAGTCAGGAATTTTTTCAGGCAGTTTTTCTACGAATATTATATATTTGCTGCATTATGCATAGATATTACCATGATTTACCATATTAAAATAATATTATTTAATGCTGGTTGCATAAACTATGAAAATTTTACGATATCGTAAATTACGATATTGAATTAACGATTTTGTAGACTACGGTATTAAATTTAGGATTTTTAAATTACTATATTAAGTAGATAATTTAATGAATTATAATACTAATTTAACGCTTTGATAAATTCCAATATTTAAGAAGAATTTCTATAAACTAAGCTACAAATTTAGGCCGTTAATATTTATTTTCAATTAAGTCTTTTTTCTTAAATTTGTCAATGATTGGTATTTAGAGCTTATTTACTTAGTTTAGCAACAATGAACGAAGCAATAATATAATTAGCGTATTAAAAATTACGTTATTACAAATTACGTTATTACAAATTACGATATTACATTAATTCCGTTATAAATTACAATATTTCATAAACGATTTTATAACCAACGGGCATGCATTAACGATTTCATAAATTGCGATATTAAATTTACTATATCATAAATTACGATATTATATTGACGGTCTTATAAATTACGATATTAAGTTAAGGAATTTATTAATACGCCATTAAGTTAAGCATTAAATAAATTGCGATATTAAGTAAACCGTTGAATAAATAACGGTACTGGTTGTAGAATTTCATAAATTACGATATTAAATTTGCCTTGTTTTTTATTAAGATAAAATTTAATTTTGTTAAAAATTGCAATAAAATTTCCTTTTTTAAATTTTTCAAGTAAAAAAAGTTAATATGCGATATATAATATTTTCCCACAAAATTAATACCAGACACAAACTCGCACCGCTAAAAATGCTTCATTATATTTGAAGAAAAAAAATATATTTTCACTTTCATTCTCAAGTTTTTTTTTTTGCTAATTTTTGTCAGCACAAAAGCACAAATTTCGATATATAAATTTTTTTCTTTAGTCCTGTTGTAATTAGCTCCCTTTATCCGTAGATCAATTTTGCACAAATACACTTGAGAAATATTTTTTTATAATTGTTTTGTTGTTTTATACTTTTTGTTGATTTTTTTGAAATATTTTCTTGTGCTAACAAAATAGTTATTTTTTTTTTTATTTTTATATTTTTATATCCTTTTTTTCAGTTTGCCCACCTTCATGTTGCTTTTTTATGGGTTTTAGTGTTGGTTGGTTGAAATAAACTTTCTGTTTGAGCTGTTAGAAGCTAGAAATGTTACTATGATCAATCTTGGCACTTTGCTGATCTTTTATACTTCTTCATTAGCATTTTTGCCACCGTTTCAGAAATGTTGTACATTTTTTCCTCAACATTATGGCGACATTATAATATTATTATTTGAGTTTTTTTTTATTTCATTTTTTCTTTCTACACCAGAGATAAGTACGTAAATGCTTACGTATGTACATATGTATATACACTTAACCATAACTAAATAACATTATGAACTCGTAAATTATACAATGGACTATATATTTTCTTTATATAAAAAAATAGCAACAATATTTTTAATCCAGTTCCAGTTTTACGTTTCAATGGCAAATTAATATCAAATCAATGGCAATTGCGTTGTCTCAGTCTAAGTCTGAGTCTGAGCGGTGTTGAGCTGAAATACCTGCATAAATGGATGGCTGATAAATGGGTGACGCGGAAACAACCTTTATGTCGTCTTAGAGTGCGAGTTCTTGGCCACCAACACACGGCATCAGACTGTCACAGCCATGCATGGATACATATGTTAGCGACATATGTACATATATACGAGTATAAATGTGTTTCTTTATAAGAAAGAAACTGTTTAATGGAGGCTTATAGTCGTCCCTGGCAACAAAGCAGGTCTGAGGCACGTCAAAGACACCGTAAGTTCGGGAACGTCCATATATGGCGGGCAATTTGTACTTTGCCGTTGTTCTTATTGTTTTTTTTAATGGAAATTAATTATTAAAGTACATTTTCTCCACCTTCACCGTAACACGTGTGCATTATGTAGCTTATAGTAATATATGTACGTATTTATGTATACATATGTCATATTTACATATATACGATATACATCTATTATACATTTCTGTATACATATAAAAGTAGAGAATATCTGTTCTTATATTACATTATTAGTACATATCTGCATAGACATACATTTATCGAGAGATCATTTTGATATCCAATTCTTGTATGATCACTTTCCGTTTCACATGCCATATCAAGTTACTTACACGTACATATATGCATATATAATATAATATTTATTTTTGTAATAATTCAAGTGCGGCGACAATCCGATACGCTTGTTGACAGTGGACAGACAGGCGTACAAAGCGGCAAAAACTGTTAAGTGTATTATATACACTTATATATTATATATATATATATATATATACACATAAGTATACACACATGCATACGAATATTTTCGCCCTTGTATGATGGTGTTTGACGACAGACAGACGAACAAGCAGAGTACTAGACAACAAACAAGACAAGCTCGAACGCTATATTTCACTTTTTTCCCGCTTTAAAATGTTAGCAACAACAAAAAATTTAAATAAAGTACAGAAAAAAACAACAATTTGTTATAGTTGATATTAATTTGACTGACATGCGTACACTTCGAACGTTGGCGTTTTTGACAAATAAATCAACATAAATGTCAAAATTTTTTAGTTTTTTATCTTAATCAAGCATATTAGCCGTGTGTGGGCGCTTAGACGGAGCGTAACGGGTTTTTGATATTTAAATATAAAAAAGGGAAAATTTGTAAAATCCAAAAAACTTCAACAGAAAAATATAAATTTTACATAAAAAATATCATAAAATAAAATAAATAGAAAAAGGGTTGCTAAGGCTGCGGCTATTGCACTCCAGTAAGTGGAACGATGAGGTCGTTCACCTTAAAAGCAGGATTAAACGGCAATCATGGTAAACCCGAAACAAATTAAATCTACGCTACAAAAAGTATGTGATCTACGAGCGGCCTCGGGGATTGGGTGGCGAAAAACCCTGCAACTTGTGGCACAATGTGCAACTATAACCAAAAGGATTTAACCCTCGATGTACCAAAACATACTGCGGTGGTGTTTAGTGATGGTCTAATGGGAACTATTAAATTGAAATAATTTGCTAGCAAATCACTCAGGGACTGAGAATATTACGAATTAGGTGGAGAGCATCCAGCAGAAACATAAAAGTTACATCTTTTTCAGTGGGAGTGTGGCTGTAGATGAAATTTTTAAATAAAATTTGTGTTTAATCATGCTCCAACCTACGCCCAATATCCTCAGCATACTTTAAGGCATAAGCTTCTTGCTTGCTGTCATTTTATGTACTTATGCATATATTCATGAGTGCAATTCTCAGGTGGATAGTAAAGCAGCAAACTTAAAATTTCTTTTAGATGCTAAATTCGAAGTGACTCGTAATTATCCGCTCAAAAAATTTTCCTTATAATATATGGGTTGGTCACCTCGCATCCTTTCATAATTTTCCTCCGGAACTCACACCCGAGCTACACCCAATAAGTTATTTATGTTATATACAATATTCAAAGTGGAATTGTAAATTTTTTAGTATGTAGTTCTCCCCAAAACTCCTTCAAGAACCGTTGGACTTGATGAATCTAGTTATGGGTATCATTATCACCATTTTCCCTACTCTTTAACAACTCCTCCCTTCTACACTTTAAAACTTAGACAATTTGGAATGTTCGATAAAAATGTGGTAGGAAGAGAATTAAGCCAAGTGGATTACTTTTTTTACCTTTTTTTAATCAATAAAGTTAGAATTTTTTCCTTTTATTATTATTCTTTGTTCGTTAGTCGAAACGTTATGAACTTGAGCTCGAGTCTTTTGAACTGTTTCGATGGTTTTTAATAAAAATTTTATAATTTTGTATCACTTGTTTCTAAAACCGTACTGTATTTGTTTGCAGGGCAGCTTTGTTCTATTTAAATCTTTGAAAAGATACGGGACCACTCTCCTCCAGCGAAATATCTCACTAGTGAACATCAATTTGAGGTCTGTGGGGATGTGTGTTCAATTAAAATCGCAATTCATATACTTTTGTCATTGGCTTATTGGCTTGTAACACGATGCGTTGCCTTGATATGACACAATTTTTTTTTCGCCCTACGTGGTTAAATTTTTCTGGGATTTCGGCTTTAAAATGCTCCAAAACGACATAGTACTAGTATACTATACCGATGCCGTAACCTTATCAAACGATCGTTGTGCCTTTAAGATCGTTTAAAGGAACCAGCTAACTAGTTGGAGTCCACTCAGATGAGAATCGTTATATTCGGGTGAGAGATGGGTTCAAATTTCAATCTATTATTCTAGATGGTCACAACGAACCCAGCTTTAGCCACCTCCCGCCCAAGCGACAGAGGGCACGACAGAAGGATAATCAGCAGACCGGTGACCGATAAGCAGTGACAATCCGGCCCTATACCCGGGACCGATCGCGGTTACACTTGTCTTCAATATTAAATAGCAGCAGAGAAAGGAGAAGGAAATTACTTAATATTTTAAAACACTAAGAAGCTTTTGGTACAGAAAAGCGAGTCAAATGAATCATGGAAAAGGGTGGGGCATTTCAAAGTTTATTCGGCTAAGCCTCTCTGGACCTAAAGTATCTAGATGATCTTAAAGGGATGGTAAAGTTAAGCTCGCTAAGTAGGAATGGGCTCTTGATAACACCTGTTATCAATTTAGTTAAAAATATAACTCAAAACATCTTTCTATGCCTGTGAAATGTGGGCAGATTAATGAGTAGTAAATGATTTTTTACAAAGATTCTAATTCGGATAACAGTTTAAATTTCTTAACAACTTTTTCATCTTAAGTTAAGAACAGTGCGACATTCCTTCCTCTCTTTCGCTGTTTAATCCAAATTAAAAACACCAGGTGTAACCAGGTCCTTCTCCATCTGATCTCTTAGAGTGTAGCTCTTCCTATTACTTTACTTCTCCGACGGGCACTGTATCGCCAACTGCAAAAGGTGTATTATTCGTATCCTCACGCACGACTTGACTTAGGCGCTGTCTCTTAATTCGATGATCTATGTCAATGTCAAGTTTTAAATCTCGTACATCTCAGCCCTCACTATCAGATTTTTTGAAGCTTGGCACTAATTGAGAAAGCGGTGAGTGCTGTACGCTTTCTAGAGGCGCGAGGCTTAACAATATGGCGACATAAGCGCCGATTTTCGGTATCACTCAATGTCATACCCAAATTCCGTTGACGTCCGCATCTCGCTTTTGTAGCAAATTTGCAACATAGAGGACTGCTACATATACGAGGAGATTAAAAAAAGGTCGGTAAGTTGACCAGAAAACAGCAACAAAAAATTGTTTCTGTAATCGTTCGTAATCTTTGTACTTTTTTATCTATAGATCCACTGAAAACACCTATCTACTCCTATCCAGTTCAGCATTAACCGCATTAATTATCTCCTCGTCCTTTACCCTTAATTTTTTTTTTTAATTTTCGGCAATAACCAGAAATCACAAGGTGTTATATCCGAAAATATGGCGCTGAACGTATTTCTTCGATCCCAGAGATTACCATATAATTACCAGTTGTTTCGGCAGTATCGGAGGGCGCGTTGTCATTTTGTGAAAAATAGTGCTGCAAATCCTTTTTATTCCTGTTTTCCAAAGAGCTTTGAAAACTCTCGGTAAGCACACTTCGGTGCATAATTTTGCAGTTACCATGTACCCAATTTCCAGTGGAAAAACAGCTACGATTTTATATCGGGCGAACAAAACTGGCATCGTTACTTTTGCTGCTGATTTTTTTGCCTCGATTAACTGATGAGTTTGCTCCTTTTGATGATTTTGGTTTCTGAATTGTACTTATAGAACCAAGATTCGTCGTCAGTAACGACTTTACTAAAGTGTCTAGAATGACCATTTTCGAATTTGTTTAGAAAAAATCACCAGCGCTACAGCGACGTCATCAGTGGAAGGTTTCGATGGGCCATCTCCGCGCTCTACGGAAAAATGTCTGGTCTGGACTTTTCGGAACCACTTAGAAATTGTCTTTAAAGACAGAGCACTCGTTCCGTATGCAGTTTGGCATTCACTGAATATTTGTACTGGCAATAAATACCGCCGAAACCCGAAGAGAATCATATGGTGAATTTCTGTTTGGGTTGGTGGTGGCATTTCGTCTGACCTATCATGAGATATATCGTGTTTTCCCAACTGACCGAACTTTCGTTAATCACCTCGTTTGTATGTACAT